TTTCTTCTCTCTCTCTCTCTCTCTCTCTCTCTCTCTCTCTCTCTCTCTCTCTCTCTCTCTCTCTCTCTCCCAGAAATTATCAAAAGACAGGTGCAATAAAATTAGTTTTTATGTATTGTAAAAAAAATAACCTTATATGTATAAAGATTTACTGCCCTTACGATCAAGTTGCGCGTTTCAACCCTTCGTCATCGATAAACGGGAAACAAAAACGAGCGCATTTGGCGTAACGTGTCGCGCTCAGCCCTTTTCAATCTCGTCGGATATCACGACGAGATGATCGCGTCGCGCGCGTCGCGCTTGGAAAAATACGATGCGCCGCGAACGTTCGAAAAAAAAGGGGGACGGAGGAACGAACGCGCCCTCGGCACCGTCGACGCGCAGTGTCTCGTGGAATGCACAGCCGCGATTCGGAGTGCATGCATGAGCGAGCAGCACGCCGTCGATTAGATATTCAAGGCGGAGGTCGAGGATGGGTACATCCCCTCCTTCCCCCTCCACCCCCCTACGGCTCTCACCTCCTCGCCCTCCCGCCCGATCTCTGCAGGAGCAGAGAGCCACCCATATTCTCGTATCGAATTCTTGTATGCGCTCATGCAAGAAGGGCGATAAATGGAAAAATTCTTGAATCTCGCAGTCGTAATCCAGACACCGGCCTCGGCTTTTCATGGGTCGGTTTTACGATTACTATGCTTCGGCCGATCTACCCTCCCCGCTCGCTCTTCGCCTCCTCGATCCTCCCCCTCGCCTCTCCACGCTTTCGTTCCGCTCTCCTTCCCGCCCGCCCGCCCGGCCCTCCGCGCGCCGCCGCCCTTTTATTAACTACTTAAATTTAATTTTCGCTTCATTGAAAAAAAAAGCTCGCGAAACTCCTCGGGAAAACGTTGCCGATTTATCGGAGGCAGCAGTCTCCGATAAGGAAATAATAGCGCGCATAAAATAAAATATATTTTCCTACAGACCTCACCATTCGGTATGTTCGTCTGCTGTATTGCGCTTATGTGACGTTGACCCTAGGACATCATTTCTTGCTTTTCTTTGCGATGCTTTAATTAAATTGCTCCTCTTCTTTCTTACGACGTGTAATATTCAGATATTTTAATTCCGAAATACGAAATAATAGAGAGTTTCATTAAGAGAAAGTGGACCCCATGGAAGGTTCAAAGTATTCGTAGCGCAACTGAATATCTATTCAGTATTTTTCTCTAGTCTCTCTTATTCTCTCCCTCCGCCTCTTCCTCTCTAATGAAGAAACTCTAATTTTACGTTTAATTTTTCATAAAGGTAACTTCTTGTAAGCGGCAAAGAGTTTTGTATGCGTGCGTTCGTTCGCACGCGTGAATGCTACGTGGAGAGAGAAAAGAGCGAGGGAGCGAGAGAGCGCGAAAAAGGGACGGGAAGCATAACGCGAGTATAGTGTGCCGCGCGCTTTTATTGCGCTGGAATTTCATTCCGGGTCTAATTGTAATCAGCGAGGTGTAATTCTAGCAATTTGTCGTAGGGATATCTAATTAATTAGGTCCTTTCGCGAGCGGACAGGACCAGTGCTGTACAAACGCGCGCGCGCGCGCGCCCGCGCGCGGTCTGCCATCTCCTCGTTAATTACGCCGTGCGCAGGATGGAATTTTTCATCGGAATTATCACGCACCATCCGCCCAGGAAATTAAGATCGCCGCGATGTTCACGGCCGCGCTGCGCCGGAACCAACTTCGTTTTTCTTCCCGTTTTAGACATCGTTTTGTTTACGCCAACGTGAGGTGAAATCGCGCCGCCAGGCATCCCCGTGCGAAAATACGTAGAGTCCCGGCTCGATATTGCGCCGGCGAAATTTTTCCACCGGGTACATTCGGTCTAATCAATTTCTCTCGCTTATCGCGTTAAAGTAAAACAATTATTAATATGGAGGAACATCCCCGATTATGAGACAGGCTTCTAATATGAGACAGCAGGTTTTCAACGTCCAAATTCAGTAACAAATCTCTTTCCGTTACACGGTGTAACAATGAATTTTTTATTCAACAGATTTTACTCCAAGAGCAATAGATTCATGGTGGAACCAACAGATGACGCCTATTAATGTAGTAGAACCCCCGCAACCTTTTAGTAGAAGCCTATCTCACAATAGGAGACTTTCCTCTATAAATTACACAACTCTTTCGATTATCAACGTCAGTGTTTTCTTGACCGTATCTGGCACTTTTAATAATACAGAAAATTAATTGCGAAAAATATTACCTCAGCCAGGGTTCGAACCTGGACCTCCCTACACTCTAGGCGAGCGTCTCACCAATTCGACCGATTCTTTCGATTATTTTCGGTTATGCACACTTGTCGTTAGAATGGTAGTAGGTGGAGATAAACGGAGTTTGTGCAAATCCATTCCTGACGTTGATTCGTCCACGGGCAACGGCGAGA